CCGGCTTAGAATACGTCGAAGCTCACCTTCAGGTGATAAGGCGGCTTGCGGAGATGGGTGCAGCTTTCGACTTGTGATGCCCTCGCGCTGGCCGCCTGATCAGATTCAGGCCTGAGGAACCCAAAACAGAAGACATCTACAAGATTTGGATGACCCGCTCGGATTAGAACGTGAAGCGCGGGCCCCATAGGGAGGGGGAGGGTCAGACTTCCTCAGGATTCAGGCCTGAAAAGCCCGAAATTGACGGCATGTATAAGATTTGGATGACCCGCTCGGATGAGAACATGAAATGCCGGCCTGATAGGATGGGGGCTCCCGCCTGAGATTTCTTCAATATTCACTCACAAACGAGGTTCCCATCTGAGACTTCCTCAAGAGTCAGGCCTGAAGAGCCCAACAATGACGACAATTACAAGACTTGGATGACCCGCTCGGATAAAAGCATGAAGCGCGGGCCCCAAGGGAGGGGGATTCCGCCTGAGACGTCCTCAAGAGTCAGGCCTGAGGAACCCAAAAGTGACGACTGATACATGGTTTGGATGAGCCGTTGGGATTCAAGCATTAAGCGCGGGCCCCATGGGGAGGGGGCTCCCGCCTGAACTTCCTCAAGATCCAGGCCTGAGGAGCCCAAAAGTGACGACTGATACATGATTTGGATGACCCGCTCGGATTAGAACATGCAGCGCGGGCCCCATAGGGGAGGGGGCTCCAGCCTGAGACTTCCTCAAAATTCAGGCCTGAGAAGCCCGAAATTGACGGCATTTGCAGGATTTGGATGACCCGCTCGGATTAGAACATGAAATGCGGGCCTCATAGGTAGGGGGGTCCCGCCAGAGACTTTTTCAATATTCACTCACAAGATTTGGATGACCCGCTCGGACTAGAACCTGAAGCGCGAGCCCCATAGGGAGGGGGTTCCCGCCTGAGACTTCCTCAAGAGTCAGGCCTGAAGACACAAAAAGTGACGACATCTACAAGATTTGGATGACCCGCTCGGATTAGAACATGAAGGGTGGGCCCCATAAGGAGGAGAGGTACCGCCTCAGACGTCCTCTAGATTCAGGCCTGAAGAGCCCGAGAGTGACGACAGGTACAAGATTTTGATAAGCCGCCGGATGAAGCACGAACGCGGGCCCCATAGCGAGGGGGCTCCCACCTGAGACTTCCGCAAGATCCAGGCCTGAGGAACCCAAACAGTAACGGCAGTTGAATGTGCGAGCGAATGTGGGTGATGATGACGATGGTGGTAGTGATGCTGATGAGACGGGAAAGGTGTGGGATTATGGCGCGATTCATGGCGATAGCACGACAACGGACAATGGCATGATGATGAGTTCGTGGGTGGGGGGTGAATGTGAATGAGTACGCGAGCGTGAACGTGAGTGGTTGGTGATGATGACAACTGCCGGTGACCATGACGGGATCATGACAAGCTAATGAATGAATGAGTAACGGCATAAGCGGGTGATCGTGATGATCGGTGATCATGATGGGATGGAGATGACAAAAGGAGGGGGTGGGGTGTGAGGTTCCTGCGCAAAGGTGTGTAGAGAGAAAAACAACCCCATTTAGGAGGTGGGGCAAACCGCGCAAGACAGCAGCGCAGACGACGGGCGGCGACGGGGCGGCGACCACGACACCGCAGCCGCCAAACCGACAGACAGGCCCAGGTTTGGGCGGCGAGGAAGCGGCGACGGGGCGGCGACCGCGACACCATAGCCGCCAGATTGAGTGGCAGGCCCAATTACGGGCGGCAGCGAGGCGGCGACGGGGCAGCGACGGCCACAACATAGCCGCCAGACCGCCAGACAGGCCCAGCTCCTCAGAAGCACATAAAGACAGAAACGCAAAGAAAAACCACAAAGTCGCATCTTGTTTGCTTGCAAAAAACACAAGAAAAACCGCCACCACCACCACCACCATCACCCCCACCACCACCACCACAACAACAACAACAACAACAACAACAATCACTTTACCCGAACGCTCAGTGTTCTCACCAGTGCCAGGGTTCTCATGCGACGCCAGCCAATACCCCCACTTTGTGGGGGGGCAGTGCAAGCTCTACCAAATATCCACACGACTCTTCGCCACCACCCACACCCAGCTTCCCGCCCTATGACGTTCGGACACTTCACTTCGTGGCCTGCGGACGACCGTGGTTACTACACTGGCGTGGAGTACACACCCACAGAAGTTGTTAAGCCTACGTTCGTACACCCACAGAAGTTCTTAAGCCTTGTTAACCCACAGAAGTTGTTAAGCCTTCCACAGAACATCCGAGGGCGCAACCTATGGCGCAACCGCAAGGGATTGTGGCCCCTGGCAGGCGCGCGAACCCCGTTGCAAGAGCGTGCGAAAGTAGCTCGCGCGAGCTCATGTAACATAAATGTTGGAAAACCATTGGTTTTTTTAGGATTCGTACAGCGCGCGCGGGTGGAAATTTTGAAAAGTCGTGCAGGTGTTTTTCGAGGACCTACGTGCGATATTCGGATTTGATTTTATGATTGCGGCGGTGCTAAAACAGAAGTTGTTAAGCAAGCCCAATGGTTTTTGGAGATTTCGGCGTTGCGCGCGCGAAGAAAAAACGGAAGTGTCCCGCATGGTATTATTTCGACAGGGATGCTGCTCGGTCAGTGGTGCGCAACCGTTGTTGCAGAAGTTTGAAAAAGTTGCTCGCAAAAGCCCGTTTGACAGAAATGTTGAAAAAGTGTTGGGTTTCCTACGAATCCGCAAGAGCGCGCGGGATGAATTTTTGACATTTTTTT